TTTTTGTCATTGTTGTAAATATATCACACAACTTTTGCCAGTTCAACTTTTTATAGGTATACAATTTATTGACAGCAATTACAATAATTGGCTGTGCATTCCTACACTTAATACGAATTTTCCATGACAGTAAACTGAGATTCCGTACTCCATAGCAATAATCACCCCCTTCCCCCTCTGTCCCCCCCACCCCATAACCACAAATTGACCTGGTCTCTATAAATTGGCCTGTTGTGAGGTCATACAGTATTTGTCCTTTTGTGATTGACTTATTTCACTCAGTATAGTATCTTTAAGTTTCATTCATACTGTAGCATGCCATGTATCAAGACTTCATTCTTCGTACTGTCTGAGTAGTATTCCATTGTATGTATGTACCACGTTTTGTTTATCCATTCATCTGTTGATGGACATTTAGGTTGTTTCCACTTTCTGGCTATTGTGAATAGTGCTGCAGTGAACATTGGTGTACAGGTCTCTGTTTGGGTCTCTGCTTTAAAAGTATTTTGGTTATATACGTAGGAGCAGAATGTGCTGATTTTTTGGAAGTAGCTCATTAGGCCTTTCTTCTGAGGCACCTCTGGGTGGACTTAAACCTCCAACATTTCAGTTACCAGTCGGACACTTTACCACTTGTGCCACCTAGGGTTCTGTATATATCCCTGAGTAAACTGAATGAGGAAATATTTAGCACTGTTAAGTTTTAAAACTTTAGGGGATGAATGCCATACATTTTAAAATAAATTTGCATTGAGAAATGGTATTCTCTAGATTAGGTCAAGAATCTCGAAGTTTTTGGTCTCAGGACCCCATTGTCATCATTAGGTGCTGTCGAGTCGGTTCCAGCTCATAGAGATCCTATGTACAACAGAACTAAACACTGCCCAGTCCTTCGCCATCTTCACAATTGTTATGTTTGAGCCCACTGTTGCAGCCACTGTGTTAGTCCATCTCTTTGAGGGTCTTCCTCTTTTCACTGACCCTCTACTTTACCAAGCATGATGTCCTTCTCCAGGGACTGGTCCTTCCTGATAACATGTCCAAAGTATGTGAGACGAAGTCTTGCCATCTTTGCTTCTAAGGAGCATTCTGGCTGTATTTCTTCCAAGATAGATTTGTTTGTTCTTCTGGCAGGCAGTCCATGGTATATTCAGTATTCCTCGTCAGCACCGTAATTCAAATCATCAGTTCTTCTTTGGTGTTCTTTATTCATTGTCCAGCTTCCTCATGCCTATGAGGACATTGAAAATACCATGGCTTGGGTGGGGCGTACCTTAGTCCACAAGGTGACATCTTTTGCTTTTTAACACTTTCAAGAGGTCTTTTGCAGCAGACTTGCCCAGTGCAATATGTCATTTGATTTCTTGACTGCTGCATTAATGGGCGTTGATTGTGGATCCAAGTAAAATGAAATCCTTGACAACTTCAGTCTTTTCTCCATTTATTATGTTGTTGCTTACTGGGCCAGTTGTGAGATTTTTTTGTTTTCTTTATGGTAAAGTGTAATCCATACCCCATAACACTTAAAAATAAAGGATTCCAAGAGCTTTTTCTTACGTGGATTCTGTCTATAGATATTTACCATATTAGAAATTAAAACTGAGAAATTAAAAAAATCATTAAAAATATTAATAAACCCAGTACATACTAACATAAATAATTTCTGAAACCAAAAAAAAAAAAAATCCTATTGCTGTTGAGTTGATTCTGACTCATAGCGGCCCTATAGGGCAGAGTAAAACTGCCCCATAGAGTTCCCAAGGAGCACCTGGTAGATTCGAATTGCTAACCTTTTGGTTACCAGCCATAGCTTTTAACCACTTCACCAGCAGGGTTTCCCTAATTTATGAAAAGTAAGTATATTTTCCACAACAAACAAAAAAAGTGAGTGGCATTGCTTTACATATTTTCAGATCTCTTAAGTGAGGGTCAGCTTAATAGAAGACAGCTTCAGTCTTACCTGCTTCTGCATTCAGCTTATTGTAATAAAATATTGTGGTTGAAATATACAGTGAAACCGGTGAGAGCCAGAACTCAATGGGACTGCCTTGTTTTTCTGGGTCTTGCAAGTTTTCCACCTTTCATAGGGTATAGTCTTTTTACCATTTTTCTATCGCTTGTTTTAATGGAAAATATTTGAGTTTTCCTTCTCTGACAGGTTTCCTCTTTACGCAGGTTCTGGCTTTCGTAGGTTTTACTGTATAAAGAAAATCTAGGCTTACATAAACATGACATTAGTAAAGCGTGGAATATTGTTAGCCTTCTCAGACAATTACAGATCTTCTTTGATACTCTCCCAAAACTGAAACAAAACAAATTTGTGGTCTCTTAAAGGTTAGTTAACAATATGGAATCTGAAATCATAATGTTGAGCGTTTTGGTATTTTTTGGATTTTGAATGGATTTTTTACCCATGTACAATTTATAACATTATGCATTGGTGATTTGAAAAAATATTGGTTAACTGGGTTATGCAGATCTCCAAATGAGGTGTTTCATTATACAGTATCCCCCAAGAAAACACATTTGTTAATGTCACCACCTATCTCATCAGAAAAGGCTTTAATTAATGGGAAACTGTTGTCAAGCTTACAGTGGCAAATACAAGTTTTCCAAAATTCTAATTAAAAAAAAGCAAACGAAGGCAATTTTTATCATTGGCAAAAAATAACATCAGTTGTTTTTCTGGCTGTGATGGTCTCATTTTGTTCATTTTTGAGAAACTATCTCCAGGATTCCTAAGTCTGAATAGTCATAGTTTCTCATTTTTTCTTTAAAGTAAAAATAGTGTTCCACGAAAAAAGTGGCTGTTTCATCTTGCAGCTTAGTCATATAAATTTTTTTTTTCTCCAGACAATATCTGCTAGTATGCAACATAAATGCTTTAAGTTTATTACATAAAATATTAAAAAGATGTACTTAAAGGTTGAGATTTAATATTAATTTTTACTGTATTGCCTCACGCCTGTCGCATTAGGAGTGTGTGGGGGAAGAATACAATGACCACTAGTCTAGTTTGGTGCTGTTTACTGCCTCATTTGATTCCTGCTAAGGCTCCAGAAGTTGTTTACCCACCATTGCTTTTGTGTCATCACTGCAGAAGTCACCATGGTGCAAAAGCCAATAACATCATATTATTATTATGAAAGTAGTTTTGACCTCATGGATGTCCCGAAAGAGTCTTAGGGTACCTAGGTTTCTGCAGATAACATTATGAGAATGGATGCTCTAGATAGTGCAAGATGGCTTTGATAACTTTTCTGGAGTTTAAAGAAAAAAAAATTTTAATTCTCTAGGGAAGAGTAAGCTGCAACTCTCTCATCTTGTATTTTTACTTGTGATTTTAGTAATTGTAATCTAGCCTTTGAAATAGAAGAATATGCCAATTCCTGAGTACATGCTTGAATTTATATTTCTATGCTTCTTTCTTTTAAATAGCATACCATTTTATATTTGTGGGCTCAGAGTAAAGACCTCATTCTATTCAGACACTGAGTAGCTTTGTTTCTGATAGCTAGTAGTCAGCTTTCTGTTATAAAACAATCAGTTGGGTCCTGCTGGCTCAACTTGCTGTTGTCCTAGTCCTAACCCTGTCTCAGCCAAAGACTGTTGTTGGTAAGTCCACACAAAGGCCTTGTGTGTGGGGTGCCCTACTAATAAGGAGTGTGTTCTAGTCCCAGTGGATTGAATCTGCTTGGTTTGTGTTCCCTTCCTAAATTTTTCACTTACTTCCTTTGTTTGGCTGGCTATTTTGTGAAAGTCAGATCATTTTTAATGCCTACAAAGATAGCTTCTTCTAGTTATTATGTAGGTCCTAGTAGAGGGAGTTACTGGAGTAAAATAAACTTTCTTTTTCTGTGGTAGGATGTGATGGAGCTGCTTGAAGAAGATCTCACGTGCCCAATTTGTTGCAGTCTGTTTGATGATCCTCGAGTTTTGCCCTGCTCGCACAACTTCTGCAAAAAATGTTTAGAAGGGCTCTTAGAGGGGAATGTGCGGAATTCCTTGTGGAGACCATCTCCGTTCAAGTGTCCCACCTGCCGTAAGGAAACATCGGCTACTGGAGTCAATAGCCTGCAGGTCAATTACTCCCTGAAGGGTATTGTGGAAAAGTATAACAAAATCAAGATCTCTCCCAAAATGCCAGTGTGCAAGGGACACTTGGGGCAGCCTCTCAACATTTTCTGCCTGACTGATATGCAGCTAATCTGTGGGATCTGTGCTACTCGTGGTGACCATACCAAGCATGTCTTCTGTTCTATCGAAGATGCGTATGCTCAGGAAAGGAATGCCTTTGAGTCTCTCTTCCAGAGCTTTGAAACCTGGCATCGGGGAGATGCTCTTTCTCGCTTGGATACCTTGGAAACTAGCAAGAGGAAATCCCTACAGCTACTGACTAAAGATTCAGATAAAGTGAAGGAGTTTTTTGAGAAATTACAACACACATTGGATCAAAAGAAGAATGAAATCTTGTCTGACTTTGAGACCATGAAACTTGCAGTTATGCAGGCCTATGACCCAGAGATCAACAAACTCAACACCATCTTGCAGGAGCAAAGAATGGCCTTTAACATTGCTGAGGCTTTCAAAGACGTGTCAGAACCCATTATATTTCTGCAACAGATGCAGGAGTTCAGGGAGAAAATCAAAGTAATCAAGGAAACTCCTTTACCTCCCTCTAATTTGCCAACAAACCCTTTAATGAAGAACTTCGATACCAGTCAGTGGGAAGAGATAAAACTAGTAGATGTGGACAAACTTTCTTTGCCTCAAGACACTGGCACATTCATTAGCAAGATTCCCTGGAGCTTTTATCAGTTATTTGTAGTACTCCTTCTGCTTGGTCTTCTCATTGCCTTTGGTCCTGCCTTATCGCTGGAATGGTCTTTATTTGATAAATTTGCAGCTTGGAAAGAACATCTTTCAAACTTCAGTTCCTGCTATCTAACTAAATCAGCTCATTTTTTAGAACAATCAGTTTTTTACTGGGAACAAGTGACAGATGGGATTTTCATTTTCAGTGAAAAATTCAAGAATTATACTTTGATGGTACTGAACAATGTGGCAGAATTTGTGTGCAAATATAAACTATTATAAAATCTGTTTCAAGTAAATAGTTCTCTGTCCTTTTGTTAGAAATTCGTTAGAGAACATAGTAGGTAGTTCAGGTTTGGTAATGATTCTAGTCAGAGACTGCCTTCAAAAGTATACTTTTCAAAAATAATGCCCTATATATGTTGTTCAAGTTAGTGTAAAGATAAAAGTGAAATCAATAGTACAGTCCTGAACCTCCTTCCTTTTTTAAAGAGTACTTTTGAAATAAGTACCTTTCCCCCAATATGGTTTGTGTTTAAGTTTTAATAAAATCGGGAGGTGAAAGAGAACACGTGATGGTGTGTTGATGAGGTGGTCTAATAGTGATCATCAAGCAGGCAATAAAGACTAGTAAAGCAGTTTTTTATGGTTAACATTCTTTAAAAAAGAAAAGACAATTTGAAGATACAGATGGATTTCTTTTTTTTTAAACAGAGGGTTGATCCCATTATTGCCAAAATGTGAATCTAACATAAACAAAGTAGTATTTTCTTGTGACAAATTTACATTTTATAGGAGGGATAGAGATTTCAGCCTGCCTTTTTCCCCTTAGTAATTGTGAATTTATCACCAAAGGAATAAACAGAAGTGTTAGGTGGACTGTGCAAGCAAAGGCAAAAAGGTCTAACATGCAAAGAGCAGAAAATGGGAAAGCCACCTTTCTGCTGACAGCGAAGTGTTGTGTTGCTGAAACAATGTACAACTAAACCCATACACTTGCTTAAGAATTTTTTTAAGAGTAGTAAGACTAATCTGACAATAGATGAAGCAGCTATTACACTAAGTAATCGGCTAAACACTAATGCTGTCCTATCTGCTCCCATGAGATAAAGATACCCTATCTACCACAAAATAAAAATACTTAATTTTCTCACCTTAGAATTCAGAAGAGAACAAAGAAGCAGCATTATCTTAGAATTGCTCTCTAGTCTGCCTTAGTTCTTTTATGGAACGAGACAGTCCTTTGAAAGTCCATTATGTGGAACAGAATTTCAGAGAATAGATTATCTGACACTTTGTAAATCTATGGGTTTGCTTACCTGATATGAGGATTCATAGCAGAAAAGAGGTCTGGGGCGAGGGGCTGCTTTTCTGCTCCCAGTATTTTTTATTTTGGTAGATTTATCATTTTCATGATTTTTTTTTAATGGAGTAAAAAAAAGGGATCTATTTGACCTCTGTTTTCAGATATACTGGCAGTTTTCCTTACACTACTATTCATTTTCTCATCTGTTTCTCCTTTTCATGTTGTGTACTACAAGTTCCCAAGCAACTCAACGTTTGCAAACACAGCTATGGATATACTATTTGCTTTACAAGTTACCTGGAAATCCAGGTCTCTGTTTTTTTGTTACTCTTCCCCTCCCCTCTGTTTCTTAATCACATATAACTAACAACATTTATGGTTATGGGTTGATTTACAAGTTCCTAAGTCTGTGGCTGATGGTTTGTAGCCTCTAAGCAAGGGAAGAATGAGTAGTCAGGAACTGGTCGCTGTGAAGTGGGAGGGAACATACAACAAGGTCTTCTACTATAAAGCAGTTCCCTGCTTCTCGATTAGCATGAATGTTAGTAGGCAGAGACCAAGAATTCAGGATGGTTGGTGGCCAGATACTTGTGGACAGAGATGGTGTTTTATTTAGTTTTATTTTAGATTTTTTGAGAACTCACCAGCTTTTATTACCTACTGAATTTTTCAGACTATCTTAGGCTTCAGAGAGAGGCTGTTTTCTATGAACTTGATTCTCTGGTTGATCTCTTAAAGCAAGAACTTCTGCTACAGCCAAAACTTGGTGCTCTTGGAGGCGCACTTCTTATGCTGAGAAACACTCAGGCTTTTTTTAGAGTATTTGGCTCTTGCAGCAAAACAATTGAGATGCTAACTGAGAAGATTCAGTGTTTATAGAGCAACCTTCAGCACCTACCTGGAGTACTAATTCCCTCAGATGACCTTACTTCCACTGCCTCCACAAAGACCTTATCAGGACCTGGTTTTCCAGTGTGGCTCTGACAGCACAACTGATAAACTGGAATCAAGCATTTTATACTTTGAAGCATCTCTTTTCTGTAACCAGTTCCTTGTGTTTCCCCTCAAAATGGAAAGTTCCTCATGCTTGAAACTTCTTGGAAAAATAAATGACAACTTAAAACAATGTTTTGGGGTAACCAGTGGATTTGGGTTATAAATAGAATGACTAAATAATTATTGTCCAAACCGGGGCATTTTTCACAGTGAAAGGGAGTACTGTTACGTAGGACAGCCAGGAATAAACTGTCCCCAGAAAACAAGTTGTATGTAGCAGGAAATAATTTTATAGATTATTGTTCCATTGCTAATGAATTTGGCTTAGGAATGAAACACCCCCCCACCTTTTTTTCCCCCAAGAGATTCTCTCGGTGTCTGGCATACAGTGAAGGCTCAATCGTTTCGCCTCTGATTTTCTTTCATGGTATGTATATTTATTCTTTCAGTCCTTATGATTTCACTCTTGATTTTTTTCATCACCTCTTTTAAACATCCTTAAGGGCAGATATATCCCATGGCAAATTTGGTATCCTATTATAACCTTAACAGGAGCCCTGGTAAGCACTTGTCTGCTAACCAAAAGGTCAGCAGTTTGAACCCACCGGCCACTCCACAGAAGAAAGATGTGACAGTCTAATTTCAATAAGATTACAGCTTTGGAAACCCTATAGGGCAGTTATACTCTGTCCTATACGGTTGCTAGGAATTGGAATCGACTCGATGGCAGTGACTATTTATTACATCCTCGGCACTCTTCGACAACTCAGAATAATTGGCATAGGCTCACCTTGAGTCGGCACTGAATTGATGGCAACAGGTTTGCTTTTTGTCAGTATGTTAAGGATTGTTGCTCCTGAGTTATTCAATCCCCCCGACCCTCGTTCTGCTGTGATGGACACATTTTTCTTCCCTTAAAAATGTCTTAATGCTGTCCTACCATTATTTTACTAACTGAAAGCTGGCTTCCATTTTTAGGAGAAAGAAAAAAACCTGCATGCATTCTTTACTGATAGCATTTAAAATAAAGTACACTATTATTTTGGTGAAGGTAGACGTGTTGGGATACTTTCTAAACATCAGCAATAACCATCAGGAAGGATATCAGTGTGCCTCTCTCACAACACACCCCTTAGTCCTGCTTACCTACTGGAGAACCCTGGGCAGCATAACCCAGCATGACAATTGTTTTTACACTTTAAAATTTCCTGTCCTTCCAAACAAAAAGGTTGAAATGTCATTCTGGGAAAAGAGAGCCTGTCAGACAGACTGATTATAAAGAAAACCAAAGACTCCCATCTTTCATTGGTGGGGGACTAACACAAGCAAAATGACTAGTTTTTTTTTGCTTTCTTAAAAATATGTTGGGTGATAAGATCTTCTGAGGCTCGTTTTTCAAAAAGTTGAAATCTAAGGAAAAATGATGTCAGTGATTTTAAGAAGAAACATGCTACGTAAAAAGATGTCCTGGCAACTTTGAATGTTCTTTAAAAACTATGCCTTTAGAGGAAGTAATTGTAATCTTGAAAAACAAGATTCCTGTGTATATAGCATGGTGCAAAGTGGTTTCCCTTTTGTTTGTTGTAAAGTGTTTTTTAGAAATGGTGCAAGTTTTTTTTCCATCTTAATGTGAGAATGGCATTATATTTAAACTTCCAAAACAGATAATTTCAAAACCAGAAGCTGTAACTGCCTAGCTAGCATTCATTTTTATATGTTGCTCACTTCCTGGTCTGAATCTGTTTAGATGTTTTTGGAAGGTAGAAAGTGGAGGAGTAAGTCTGAATGGCTCCTAACAGTCTGGTGTATCATCCAGCTATTCAGTATATTCCACCAATATGATTTAACACTCTAAGTTGTCTGGTTAACCCAGGTGGTTACTCAGTTATTATCTCTCAAGTTCACAGTACTAGAAGTACCTGGCATGCATCTTGCAGATGGCCATTCATGTGACCCCATATTATGAAGCTCAATTATGACCACAAGATTTTAGAGTCTCAGGTAGCATTTAATCATTCCATCTGACTTCTCCTTTTTAAATTGGTTCAAATGGAAAAGTGTAGTTACCTTGTAGATTTTTAAAATAGTTTTTGATTATCTATTTCCCACCGGTTTCTTCTATGCTTTTCTTGTGCCTTGAAATCTTGTGATTCTCAATCTGGCCTTATAGGGAATCAAGTACTTTGTTCTCAGTGATTTCTTGCAAGTGCATACCACTTTGTTACTACCTATTATACACTGTATCTTAATTCTTTTGTGAGATATTCTGGTAACATTTTTTCTCTTTGACAAATGTGCTTAGGCTATACAATCAAGATCTGGGGCTTGGGGGTAAATGGAATGATTTACTAATGTAAATGTTAATGCTGTATCAAACATAATAACTTTTTCTAAGATGTGCTTGGTAGATAATTCTTACTATTGTTTTCTTTGCCTAGAGTGAGTTTCTAAATGTGAGCTACAATAATCACTCTATTTCAATCATGATACTTTAAAGGCGGCTCGGGATGTCCCTAAGGGGACTTTTTACCCTATAAAACTACAGATAGTTTAGGTTGCTGCCTGGAACTAATTTCAGTTAGTCTTCACATTTCATAAACAAATGGTGGGAGCATTCAGCTATGTAAGGAAGGGTATATAACTGTAAAAACAAAACAAAACAAAAAAACACCAAACCTGTTGCTGATGAGTCAATTCCGACTCATAGCGATCCTATTAGACAGAGTAGAACTGCCCCATAGGGTTTCCAAGCAGTGGCTGGTGGAATCGAACTGCCGACCTTTTGGTTAGCAGCTGTAGCTCTTAACCACTGCGCCACCAGAGCTCCAGTGTGTTCTGTTGACATTATTAAAGTCAACGATATATAGCAATCTGAAAAGTTCACATATGTTTTTCTTGAATGATGTGTATTGGTTCTGTGGAGTTTCCTGGAAAACAGATTTTGCCATTTTGACTTCAAAGGTCTAAAACCCCCATGTTTTGCTCTTCAACGATGGATAGTTATTGACTAAAAACTGATAAGATCTTTCTGACATTTTCATATCTGCAAAATTTCACTCTCCAAAAAATGGATTTGATAGGAGTAAGTTACAAGAGAAAATCTATAATGTCAGGTGCTAATAATTGGTAACACTGGATCTGGTAAAAACTGTAAATGTATGAAATCTATGTTATAAAAGTTACAATGAAAATAATCCTTGTTTAAAACAACAGTAAATTGGAAACAAAAATTGGAAATAAATTGTGCTATATAAAAAATTTAGCCAGTTTAATTGTTTGATCAAGAAAATAATTTCACAATGAAAATTCATCAGTGTTAGTTATATTCCTAAATATGGAATTAAAATGACTTTGGAGATCAACAGGTTTTCAGTACCCTGAAATTACAGATTTGGATTTGTAAATAAAGTCTAAAAAAAAAACAAAAACAAACCTGATTGAAAATAGTATGATGCCTGTGTTTGAGGTTATAAATCAAATTTATGTATGTACTTTTAGTAGTCACTAAAGGGATGTTTTATAATTAATTTTTTTGTGTGTGTGTGTCCTAGGTATGTTTCTATAAAACCTGATAACCAAAAATTGGCCAATGGAACTAATGTCCTTGGCCTACTGATTGATACTTTACTAAAGGAAGGCTTCCGTCTTGTCAGCACTAGAACTGTATCCTCTAAAGACAAAACTGAACGCTATAGCTTTGAAAGGATAAAAAGGCCTCAAGCCGTCGCCGTGAGCAAAACACTGAAACCAGAGACCACCATCATGCCAGAGCACACTCAGAAGAAGTTGTCTATTCTCTTTTAGAGTTATTAATGTTTTTCTTGTTTGGAAACTCCATGTTTGGGGCATGTATGTTAGTCAAATCTATACTCAGTCTAATTTTTCAGCCTCATCTCCTATCATGCATCTGTATGCAACCACCCCCCAACAGTGCCTAGCTACACTGAACTGCTTGATGTTCCCTAAGCAATACTATGTACTTGGTGCTTTGGCACATGTTCCTTCTACCTTCAATGCTTCTTTGCCTTTCTCTTCTACATGAAGACAGCTTTTAAGAATGGGTTTTGGAATTAGACTGCTTGGTTTCTAATCCCAGCTGTGTGATTTCGGCAAGTCATTTAACTTCTTTGAGCCTCAACTTCTTCATCTATCAAATGAAGATAATAAAGGTATCTCCCTCATAGGAAGGTACTAATTCGATGTTAGTGATAATGATGAAGATGGATGGTTCACTTTTAATTGCACCTCTTTTGTGAGGCCTTCCTCCTTCCCCAAGCCTATTACTCAACCCTTTCTTCTGTATAGACTTACATGCAATCATACAAACCAATTTTTCTCATTTGAATATGAGCTCCTTGATGCACTCAACAGTTTTTAACACTACTCTGTGTAAAAGCACTGTGCTAAACACTTGGTGAAAGCAATAATACCTTTGCTGCCCTGGTAGCACAGTGTTTCAGTGGTCAGCTGCTAACCTAAAGGTTTTGGCGATTCGAACCCACCCACTGACTCCACGGGAGAAAGACCTAGCAATCCATTCCTATGAAGATTATAGCCTAGAAAACCCTATGGGACAGTTCTTTTGCATGGGGTCACTATGAGTCGAGGGAGAGCACCTAACAACAATGTGTAAAAGCACTATACTAAACACTCAGTGAAAGCAGTAATCCCTTTGTTACTAATCAGCACCTATATCTGGTGAAAAGCTTTGGAATAACCTCTACCAACGTTTAAAATACACGTATACTTTGACTCGGTGGTTCCTCTTCTAGGTGTATGTGTCATTTAAACACTTGGATAAATACATACAAAAGGAACCACTAAGGTAAAGTACACCATGTACTTTGCACATAGCATGGTTAAAAACTGCTGAAGGAAGCAATTGAGCACTGTTTTTAAAAGTACAATTCATTCATTCAAAAACACTTTTTAAACATCGGTTGGACATTATACTAAGTTTCAGGATTAAAAAATGACTAAAGACAAACATCCTTATTCTGGAGTTTATATTCAAGTGAGAAAACGCATCATCATAACAAAAGATTAGAAATAAACTCAAAAGTTCATCAACAGCAAACTGGTAAATTATGGTTCATACAATAAAATATGATGCAGCCTTTGACAAGGATTGTCAAAATGTTATTGTGGGAAAAAAAGCAAGGTGCAGAACAATGTGTAACATTTGTAGAAAAAGATATATGTACTTTCTCATATATGCATAGAGTTTTCAGCAAAGATACAGGTCACCTGTGGAGAGGGAACCTGGTGAGTAGGGTTTAGGTACAAGAGGAAGATTTACTTTTCTCCAGACCATGTGGATGTATCATCTACTTTAAGGGGAGGAAGAAAAAAAAGCAACAGCCATACCTGAAAGATTTTCTGTGCGTATGTGTGTTAGAATGGGAGGGGCATGACACAGTTTATCTATCATCCCTCATACCAACACAAATTTTACTCTACCATGATTCCTGTAAAACCCCCGCACTTAGTAAAGAAGTTGCATTCCAGAAATTTCTAGTACTTACAGATTTGTGTACTAGGTTGAGGGGTAGAAAGACTTTTTTTTTTTTTTTTTAATTGTACTTCAGGTGAAGGCTTACAGAACAAATAGTTTCTCATGAAACAGTAGTACACATATTGTTTTATGACATTGGTTAACAACCC